CCCGGACCCTGCATTCACTATATCCGCTCTCCCCGGACCCCGCATTCACTATATCCGCTCTCCCCGAACCCCGCATTCACTATATCCGCTCTCCCCGAACCCCGCATTCACTATATCCGCTCTCCCCCGGACCCTGCATTCACTATATCCGCTCTCCCCGGACCCTGCATTCACTATATCCGCTCTCCCCGGACCCTGCATTCACTACATCCGCTCTCCCCGGACCCTGCATTCACTACATCCGCTCTCCCCAGACCCTGCATTCACTACATCCGCTCTCCCCAGACCCTGCATTCACTATATCTGCTCTCCCCGGACCCTGCATTCACTATATCCGCTCTCCCCGGACCCTGCATTCACTATATCCGGTCTCCCCGGACCCTGCATTCACTATATCTGGTCTCCCCGGACCCTGCATTCACTATATCCGCTCTCCCCGGACCCTGCATTCACTATATCTGGTCTCCCCGGACCCTGCATTCACTATATCTGGTCTCCCCGGACCCCGCATTCACTACATCCGCTCTCCCTGGACCCTGCATTCACTATATCTGGTCTCCCTGGACCCTGCATTCACTATATCTGGTCTCCCTGGACCCTGCATTCACTATATCTGGTCTCCCCGGACCCTGCATTCACTATATCTGGCTCTCCCCGGACCCTGCATTCACTATATCCGCTCTCCCCAGACCCCGCATTCACTATATCCGCTCTCCCCGAACCCCGCATTCACTATATCCGCTCTCCCCGACCCTGCATTCACTATATCCGCTCTCCCCGGACCCTGCATTCACTATATCCGCTCTCCCCGGACCCTGCATTCACTATATCCGCTCTCCCCGGACCCTGCATTCACTACATCCGCTCTCCCCAGACCCTGCATTCACTACATTCCGCTCTCCCCAGACCCTGCATTCACTATATCTCAGCTCTCCCCGGACCCTGCATTCACTATATCCGCTCTCCCCGGACCCTGCATTCACTATATCTGGTCTCCCCGGACCCTGCATTCACTATATCTGGTCTCCCCGGACCCTGCATTCACTATATCCGCTCTCCCCGGACCCTGCATTCACTATATCTGGTCTCCCCGGACCCCACATTCACTACATCCGCTCTCCCTGGACCCTGCATTCACTATATCTGGTCTCCCCCCTGGACCCTGCATTCACTATATCTGGTCTCCCTGGACCCTGCATTCACTATATCTGGTCTCCCCCGACCCTGCATTCACTATTTCCGCTCTCCCTTACCATCCGTGACCTGAGAGATGTAGGACAGCAGCTCCCTCTGTCTGTGGGGCGTCAGTGGCTGTGAGGGAATACAGCGGGAGCTCCTCCTCAAACTTCAACACCATCTCTCTGATCAGTCCCAGGATTGTGGACTTCGGCTGAAAAGACAAAAAGTGATCATCACATACCGACCTGTCAATGAGGCCATGAATGCGGCCATATGGTCACTACTGGGGGATAATGACCTCACAAGGCACAGAGGAGGCAGATATCATCCTCCGCAATCAGCATCATTCCTTACCTACAAACATCCTCATTCTAGATCCCCTGGAATCAGCATCATTCCTTACTGACAAAAATCCTCATTCTGGATCCACTGCAATCAGCATCATTCCTTATCAACAAACATCCCCATTCTGGATCCACTGCAATCAGCATCATCCATTAACTACAAAGGTCCCCATTTTGAACCCCACACAATCAGCGTCATCATCCCTTATCTACAAAGGTCCCCATTCCAGATTCACTGCAATCAGCATTAATCCTTGATCGACAAAGGTCCACATTCTGGATCTCCTGCAAACAGCATCATCCTGAACTACATAGGTAACTATTCTGAACTCCCTGCAATCAGCATCATTCCTTATCTACAAACATCCCCATTCTAGATCTACTGCAATCAGCATCATTCCTTATCAACAAAGATCCTCATTCTGGATCCACTGCAATTAGCATCATCCATTAACTACAAAGGTCCCCATTCTAAACCACATGCAATCCGTATCATCCCTTATTGACAAAGGTCTCTCCTTCTGGATCCACTACAATCAGCATCATCCCTGAACTACAGAGCTCCTCATTCTGAACCCCTCGCAATCAGCATCATTCCTTATCTACAAACATCCCCATTTTGGATCCACTGCAGGGATGTCAAACTGGCGGCCCTCCAGCTGTTGCAAAACTACAAGTCCCATCATGCCTCTGCCTTTGGGAGTCATGCTTGTAACTGTCAATCCTGCAATGCCTCATGGGACTTGTAGTTTGGCAACAGCTGGAGGGCTGCCAGTTTGACCCCCGTGCCCTAAGGGAACAAGATAGAAATAAGAAAAAAAATGGGGGGGGGGGGGGGGAGGTGCATGATCCAGAGGGGGAGGAGAGAGGTTTGGGAGTAAATCAGGATCACGCTTGGATGCACAGTTTAATATTTGAACTTTGCATATATTTATATGTGTTAGGAATTTGACAATAAAGTTATTTATAGTTTTTTTCATATATATATATACACACACACACACTTCCCTATCAGGACGACTCCTAACCTGAAATACCTGTCTGGCCGGTGACTCAGTAAAACCAATGATCGGTCCAGTCATGTGACACTCCTTGGTCATGTGACAGGCTGTACCACGCAGGGTGACACACAAGGAAGCAGATGGAGTAGGCTGTCAGCCATCAGTGCCTATACCGAGCTTCACAAAGAAGATCTCCGGTCTAAACAAAAACATTTCAATGGTTTCTAATAGGTGTATATAATGGGGGGGGTTTACTAAAACTGGAGCACTCAGAATCTGGTGCAGCTGCGCATGGCAGCCAATCACCTTCTACAGCGCCTTGAAAGTCTTCATACCCCTTGAAATGTTCCTCATGTTGTCATGTTACAACCAAAGATGTAAATGTATTTTATTGGGATTTGATGTGATAGACCAACACCAAGTGGCACATAATTGTGAAGTGGAAGGAAAATGAGAAATGGTTTTCAACATTTTTTACAAATAAATATCTGAAAAGTGTGGCGTGCATTTGTATTCAGCCCCCTTTACTCTGATACCCCTAACTAAAATCCAGTGGAACTAATTGCCTTCAGAAGTCACATGATTAGTAAAGAGAGTCCACCAGAGTGTCATGTAATCTCAGTATAAATACAGCTTGAAAAAGTCTTCACACCCCCTTGAAATTTTCCCCATGTTGTCATGTTATGTATTTTATTGGGATTGGATGTGATAGACCAACACAAAGTGGAACATAATTGTGAAGTGGGAGGAAAATGAGAAATGGTTTACAACATCTTTTACAAATATCTGAAAAGTGTGGCCTGCGTTTGTATTCAGCCCCCTTTACTCCGATACTCCTAACTAAAATCCAGTGGAACCAATTACCTTCACAAGTCACCTAATTAGTAAACAGAGCCCCCCTGTGTGTCATGTAATCTCAGTATAAATCCAGCTGTTCTGTGAAGCCCTCAGGGGTTTGTTAGAGAACATTAGTGAACAAACAGTATCATGAAGGCCAAGGAACACACCAGACAGGTCAGGGATACATTTGTGGAGAAGTGTAAAGCATGGTTAGGTTTTAAAAAAATCTCCCAAGCTTTGAACATCTCACGGAACACTGATCAATCCATCATCCGAAAATGGAAAGAGTATGGCACAACTGCAAACCTACCAAGACATGGCCGTCCACCTAAACTGACAGGCCAGGCAAGGAGAGCATTCATCAGAGGAGCAGCCAAGAGGCCCATGGGAACTCTGGAGGAGCTGCAGAGATCCACAGCTCAGGGGAGAGAATCTGTCCACAGGACAACTATTAGTCGTGCACTCCACAAATCTGGCCTTTATGGAAGAGTGGCAAGAAGAAAGCCATTGTTGGAAGAAGAAGTCCTGTTTGCAGTTTGCAAGAAGCCATGTGGGGGACACAGCAAATATGTGGAAGAAGGGGCTCTGGTCAGAGAGACCAAAATGGAACTTTTTGGCCTAAAAGCAAAATGCTATGTGTGGGGGAAAACTAACACTGCACATCACCCTGAACATACCATCACCACCGTGAAACATGGTGGTGGCAGCATCATGTGGTGGGGATGCTTTTCTTCAACAGGGACAGGGAAGCTGGTCAGAGTTGATGGGAAAATGGATGGAGCCAAATACAGGGAAATCTTAGAAGAAAACCTGTTTGAGTCTGCAAAAGACTTGAGACCAGAGCGGAGGTTCACCTTGCAGCAGGACAATGACCCAAAACATCCAGCCAGAGCTACAATGGAATGGTTTGGATCAAAGCATCTTCATGTGTTAGAATGGCCCAGTCACAGTCCAGACCGAAATCCAATGGAGAATCTGTGGCAAGACCTGAAAATTGCTGATCCCAGACACTCTCCATCCAATCTGGCAGAGGTTGAGCGATTCTGCAAAGAAGAATGGGCAGAAATGTCCCTCTCTAGATGTGCAAAGAGACATCCCCAAAAAGACTTGCAGCTGGAATTGCAGCCAAAGGGGGTCCTACAATGTACTGACTCCGGGGGGGGCCGAATACAAATGCCGCAACACTTTTCAGATATTTATTTCAAAAAATGTTGAAAACCATTTCTCATTTTCCTTCCACTTCACAATTATGTGCCACTTTGTGTTGGTCTATCTCATCAAATCCCAATAAAATACATTTATGTTTTTGGTTGTAAGATGACAAAATGTGGAAAATTTCAAGGGGTGTGAAGACTTTTTCAATGCACTGTAACCTCAACTCATTCAATGAAGCTTTGACCATAAAACCTGGAAGCTGATTGGTTTCTATGCAGAGCTGCACCAGATTTTGTGCTCTCCAGGTTTAGTAAATCTCCCCCTATGTGTCCCATAGACCAGAGTGCACAATGCAGCAGCACATAATAACTATCTGCAACCAATCAGAAATCATCCTTCACTAGCCTGCCTACCATCACCCAGCTTCTGATTCGCTTCTGACCCATTCATTTCACAAGCCCAGGACGCAGCGCTCTTACATGGCTCCAGTTCTGGAGGTACGGCAGATAGATCCTCCCTGGGCGTCTATGTGTTTGCCGACCCGGATGCCCATTGTGTCGGTGGGTTTCAGGAAGCAGAGCGGGGGACCGAAGGGGTGCGAGTCCAGGAGCCAGAGACAGATCGGGATGTTGTAAGAGTTCCCTGCAAAATAAAACGTTCAGGGCGTACACCCAACCACGACATTTACTGTAGACTGCTCTGTGCATAACAACTGACACTTTTGTATTTTTTTTAATAAAAGACGCCCTAGTGTGTGTATATAGATGCAGTATATAGCGTGTGTGTATATATATATATATACACACACACACACACACACACACATATATACACACTATATTGCCCAAAGTATTGCCCCCCCCCCCCTCCAAATCATGTGATTCAGGTGTTCCAATCCCCTCCATATCATTGGATTCAGGTGTTCCAATCCCCTCCATGGACACAGGTGTATACAATCAAGCCCCTAGGCATGCAGACGGCTTCTACAAACATTTGTGAAAGAATGGGTCGCTCTCAGGAGCTCAGTGACTCCAAGCGTGGTCCCGTGATAGGTGGCCACCTGGGCAATAAGTCCATCCGTGACATTTCCTGGCTACTAAATATTCCACGCTCAACTGTTAGTGGGATTATACCAAAGTGGAAGCAACTGGGAACAACAGCAACTCAGCCACCAAGTGGTAGGCCACGTCACATGACAGGGCGGGGTCAGCGCATGCTGAAGCACACAGTGCGCAGAAGTTGCCAACTGTCTGCAGAGTCAATAGCTAAAGACCTCCAAACATGGTCTGGCCTTCAGATGAGCCCAACAACAGTGCGTAGAGAGCTTCATGGAATGGGTTTCCATGGCCGAGCAGCTGCATCCAAGCCTTCCATCACCAAGTGCAATGCAAAGTGTCGGATGCAGTGGTGTAAAGCACGCCGACACTGGACTCTAGAGCAGAGGAGATGTGTTCTATGGAGGGACCAATAACGCTTCTCTGTCTGGAAATCCGATGGACGTGTCTGGGTTTGGCGGTTGCCAGGAGAACGGTATTTGCCTGACTGCATTGTGCCAAGTGTAACGTTTGGTGGAGGGGGGGTTATGGTGTGGGGGTGTTTTCAGGGGTTGGGCTTGGCCCCTTAGTTCCAGTGAAGGGAAGTCTTAAGGCGACATTTTGGACAATTTCATGCTCCCAACTTTGTGGGAAGAGTTTGGGGATGGCCCCTTCCTGTTCCAACATGACTGCGCACCAGTGCACTAAGCAAGGTCCATAAAGACATGGAGGAGCCAGTTTGGGGTGGAGGAACTTGACTGTCCTGCACAGAGTCCTCACCTCAACCCCATAGAACACCTTTGGGATGAATTAGATCGGAGACTGCGAGCCAGGCCTCCTCCCCCGACATCAGTGCCTGACCTGACAAATGTGCTTCTGGAAGAATGGTCCAACCTTCCCATAGACCCCCTCCTAAACCTTGTGGACGGCCTTCCCAGAAGAGTTGAAGCTGTTATAGCTGCAAAGGGCGGGGCCAACAATATTGAACCCTATGGACTAAGACTGGGAGGCCATTAAAGTCCATGTGCGTGGAAAGGCAGGCGGCCTCTATTAGAAGCCCGTGTGACAGGGTGACAACGCAGGAGAATAACTGGAGACAGGGACGGAGCGTTGTCACCCACAAAAGGGAAGTGCCCGGGAAAGGCCCAAATGGCAGGATCACCACATATTTAATGAAAGCTGCTCTAAAAAGATTGAAAGCGACTTTTCAAACAACATTTAAAATGTGACGTCTTCGAAGGGATTTTAGTGGTTGGGTGTAATGATAAAACCTCCCACACACAGGCTGATGATGAGTAATGGCGGGGATGGCGACGGTTGTCAGCCGCCTTCTAGGCCCAGGATGACGGATGACATCAATAAAAGGCATGTGGCCAGAGGGGAAATACTGATGTGTCACATGACTTTCCAATATATTTGGATACTTTTGGTACTTCTTGTATAAAAAAAAAAAAAAAAACTAAAAAAATTTACAAACCAAATCTGACCACAAAAGGAGATAAAAAAAAAAAAAAAAAACTCCAAAGTAAACGTACCCTGAAATTTCATGGGAACCGTCCCGGAGAGGTTCAGGAGGTCTTTCTGTGAACCGTCTTTAAATGCTGCAAAGAAAAGCATGATCATTAGACACGCCCACTGCAACAATGTATCACTCCAGGAGTCAGACTACAAATTGAAGCTTGTTACATTGTAGCAATACTTTTGGGGCTCATTTACACATGCTTGGACTTTAACATCCCCCCGCCGTCACACCCCCACCACTTTAGCACCCAACCCTTCGGCATGCATTTGTAATGTGTTTTTTTATGCTTCTGTGAAGTTTTAATGAAGCTGGTGTTGATTTTTAATGTGTTTTAACTACTTGCCAACCGCAGATAGCCGAATGACGGCTACACTGCGGCCGGCCAGTTCTGGGTGGGCGTCATATGACGTCCTCCCAGAACGCGCTCTCCTGAGTGCCCCCGGGGGCAGGCACCCGGCGATCTCCATGATCACTGTGTCCTACGGACACAGCTGATCATGTGATGTGGTAAAAGGCCAATCACAGTGGCCTTTTACCACGTGATCAGCCGTGTCCAAGGACACGCTGATCACCGGGAAATGCTCTGCTGATTCCCTGCACAGTAGTGACCCTCAGCTCTGCTGATGCCCTACTCAGTAGTACCCCCCAGCTCTGCTGATGCCCTGCTCAGTAGTACACCCAGCACTGCTGATCCCATTCAGTAGTACCCCCAGCTCTGCCGCTGTCACACTCAGTAGTGACCCCAAACTCTGATGCCACACCCGTAGTGACCCCCAAACTCTGATGCCACACTCCGTAGTGACCCCCAACTCTGATGCCACACTCAGTACTGCCCCACAGCTCTGCTGATGCCACGCTCAGTACTGCCCCACAGCTCTGCCGATGCCACGCTCAATAGTACCCCCAGCTCTGCCGATGCCACGCTCAATAGTACCCCCAGCTTTGCCGATGCCACGCTCAGTAGAGAACCCCAGCTCTGCCGATGCTACGCTCAGTAGAACCCCCAGCTCTGCCGATGCTACGCTCAGTAGTACCCCCAGCTCTGCCGATGCCACACTCAGTAGTGACCCCCAGCTCTGCCGATGCCACACTCAGTAGTGACCCCCAGCTCTGCCGATGCCACACTCAGTAGTGACCCCCAGCTCTGCCGATGCCACACTCAGTAGTGACCCCCAGCTCTGCCGATGCCACACTCAGTAGTGACCCCCAGCTCTGCCGATGCCACACTCAGTAGTGACCCCCAGCTCTGCCGATGCCACACTCAGTAGTGACCCCCAGCTCTGCCGATGCCACACTCAGTAGTGACCCCCAGCTCTGCCGATGCCACACTCAGTAGTGACCCCCAGCTCTGCCGATGCCACACTCAGTAGTGACCCCCAGCTCTGCCGATGCCACACTCAGTAAGCAAAAAGCAGCAGTTGATACAATAGAGTTCAATGGAGAATCTGCTGAAATGCACGGTAGTGTGTTTTGCCGCGTTTTGTGTTTTTATTATGCTCAGCAAAAAAAAAAAAAAAAAAATTAAATTCCACTTTAAAATTAAAAAAAAAAAATTCCACTTTAAAAAATATGTAAAAAAAAAAGGGAAAAAAATTCCACTAAAAAAAAAAACTGAACAAAAAGCAAATTGCGGCAAAAACATGTGTAGAAAACCGCAAAACGAACTGCGAAAAGCACTGCAAAAAAGGACAAAAGTCAAACTGCATAGGTATGAACGGAGCATTAATTATACTTTGAAGTGAACCTAGTGACGTGAGTGACATTTGAATGTACTGAAATAATGTTCTTATGACTATTTGTTCAATAATCTACTGGTATATGGTCAGCTTTACAGAGAAAAAAAAAGGGTAGGGGAAGGGGGGTGTTCTGCAATCCTGTCCTAGGGTGACAACTTTGCTCCTCCATAGAAAGGCTTGAGTGAGTGTTGTCACCCTAGGACAGGAAGTGTGTTTCTGGCAGGATCACCAGGTGAAAGTAAAGGTAAAACTAATGCAGTCACCACCTCTAAGGACCAGTAAGTTGCAATATAATACATTTCTGTTCCTGTGGTTGGATACCCTTCAAGACCCCGGTCACACTGGGTGTGACTTGCCATACGATTTGCCATGCAAGTTGCAAATCACACGGCAAGTCGCATCCTATTGTTCGCAATGAATGCAGTCATATCGGTGCGATTCCGACTTGGTCAGAGCTGCACCGACTTCTAGAGTAGTGCATGTGCTGCTTCAGGTTCGACTGACCATTCGAGCACTCGGACACTGCTCGAGGGCCCGGGGTCAGTAGGGGACCCCCATGAAATGCCCCTGGTACCTTTTTTATAGGCTTTTTTTGGGTGTGCAAGGACACAGGGGCCCCATGATCCCCTATTGCTCGGGGGCCCCATGAGTTGTCAGTCCACCCCTGGGTGCGACTTGCATAGACATCTAGGCAGAGTTGCACCTCAAGTCGTAATGACATCCGACTTTGAAATCGTGCGACTTCACAGGAAGTCATACAATTTCAAGTCGAATCGGTGTGACCCGGGGGGGGGGGGTGGTTATTTAAAAAAAAAATTAAGCAGGACTTTCTGAGTGCTTGGGTGGCTCTGGAAGTCCTCATCCACTTACTGTATGTATCCATGGAGTAGATGAATCCTGGGAAGATCTTGTAGACATCTCTCAGCTCTTCTACCGTCAGATCCCGGAACTTGTACTGCAATGATACAAAGTCGGCTTTAATCGATCGTTACAATTAGCTCCGCCTTCAATGCGACCATATTTGATACATACAACTATTTGCATATCTTATAGTGGCCACACAGACTTTCATTTTTTTTTTTTTTATGTGCGATTTGATCAAAGTGATCAAATCCACAAATGATCGAACAGCTACAACTTCCCTTCCGGTCAATTTAGCCTCAATTTCAGTTGGATTCATCCAGGCCAGGGTAGGAAATGATTGATTGTTATCGATCGGCAGCACTGAGATACTTTGTTCATGTATACGATTGCAGATCGACTGATTGGATGATGAGATCACATGATGGAAAAGCGACCAATAACTTGCAATCGTAGGTTACGACCAGATCTTAATTATCAATCAAAATCCACCATAATCGATCGACTGGGTTGTGGGCTATAGATCAATTATTCCTGCTGGAAACGATCGATTGGAAAATAAATGGGTCATTTATGGAAGAAGAGAAGCTGAAGTACGATACGCAGGGGCGGACTGACAACTCATGGGGCCCCCGGGCAATAGGGGATCATGGGGCCCCTGTGTCCTTGCCCAAACTCAAAAAAGCCTATGAAAAAGGTACCAGGGGCATCTCATGGGGCCCCCTACTGACCCCGGGCCCTCGGGCAGTGCCCGAGTTTCCAAATGGTCAGTCCGCCCCTGACGATACGGTTTCCTTGGGTACTCTGGCCGCGGTGAATGAGCCGCCGCAACGCAGGACATACCGCTGTGACGTATTCGGCCCATAAATACACTGAGTCCCCAGTCACACTGGATGCGAATTGGCATGCGAATTGCAAATCGCAGCCTACTGTCCGCAATTACAGCGGTCATGTCGGTGCGATTCCAACTTGGTTGGACCCGCACCGATTTCTAGAGTAATATATGCGCGACTTCTGGCGCGAATTGCATAGACCTGTATCAGATGTCTTGAAAAAATCGTGCCTGAAATCGACACGTCGTCCGACTTTGAAAACCTGCGACTTCACAGCAAGTCGCACACGATTTCAAAGTCGGGTTTGATGTGACCGGGGGGAGGGGAGTAATTAGACTAAGTCTGGAAATAGGAATATGCGATTTGTGGCAACCAAAGACGATCTTAAGTGAAAACCGCTGTTCCGCCTCGCCCCAAGAGCTTTCATTCAAACTTTCCCGACCCTTTCCAGGAGTTCATTTCCAATGCCCCATGGAGGTTCGCTTGTGTCCTCCACACCCAGTAGGTCTATGATCAATCGATCTTGGTATAAAAGTTGATCAATTAGGACCAGAGTCATAGCAATAATTCCAATCACTTGATTACCAATCACATGATCATTACTTCAATCACATGATCATTACTTCCAATCACATGATCAATACTTCCAATCACTTGATCATTACTTCCAAACACATGATCAATACTTTCAATCACATGATCAATACTTTCAATGACTGTACAGAAGGGGGTTGGAGTTACGGAGATCAGAATACAGGGGGCAGTGATCACAGCGGGGGGCCGGTAGAGTGTCAGCTCTGTGGCCCAGTACGGGAGGAGGGCTCACCTTCCCCAGCCTTGGACGATCAGCTCCACATTCAGCTCCATCTCCGGGTCACTCTTCCGGCTTCCTCCCCGAACACCGGGACCAGGAGCAGGGAGGAGCAGCCCGACATCACTCACAGGGCGGATCCCGACACCAGCCCGCCCCCGCCCATCCCTGACACCGTCTGGAGGGGCTGAGATGTGAACTATCCCCCGGATCACACATCGTCTATATACAGTGCTAGAGATGTCTGTGTTGGAAATATGGGCCATATAATATCACATCAGCCAGTATGGATGAGATGAATGAATGAAGTGATCAATCGATCAGACAGACAGACAGATACCATGTGTGATCAGATCTTCTATACAATCTTACATGAATAATATGGTCCATATAACGTGTCATCCCAGATCAGATCATCAATAGAATATACTACAGGCAAGGGCGGACTGACAACATCATGGGGTCCCCCGGGCAATAGGGGATCATGGGGCCCCTGTGTCCTTGCCCAAACTCAAAAAAGCCTATGAAAAAGGTACCAGGGGCATCTCATGGGGCCCCCTACTGACCCCAGGGGCAGTGCCCGAGTTTCCAAATGGTCAGTCTGCCCCTGACTACAGGTATATATATATATATATATATATACACACACACAGGGGCGGACTGACCATTTGCAAAACTCAGGCACTGCCCCCGGGTTCAGTAGGGGGCCCCATGAGATGCCCCTGGTACCTTTTTCATAGGCTTTTTTGAGTTTGGGCAAGGACACAGGGGCCCCATGATCCCCAATTGCCCGGGGGCCCCATGAGTTGTCAGTCCGCCCCTGTATATATATATATATATTATATTTCACACGGCTCAAAAAAATGCAATGAAGCCTTTTTAATCAGAGTCTAGCATCAAGTCAATGAAACTCCTGGGATATTGATCTGGTCAGGTAATGCCGGCCATAGACGGGTCGAAAATCGGCCGAAGAAAAAATATTTCCCGATTTTCGCACCGTTAGTGGGTTAATTGGCTGGCCGTTTTTCGGGGTTTTGGCACATTTTTTTTATTGAACATGTTTGAAAATTCGAGGCCGATTTTGACGGTCGGCTGATTTTCCCGGCAATGATGGGCAAATCGTCCGTTCGTTTTACCGATAAAAAATCTGTGCATGAGCCGTGAAGAGGAAGAAGAGGAAAAAGAAGAAGTAATCTTCATTCTTTTGCCCCCTGGATATCCCCACACCTGTGATATTCCAGTACTGCAAGGGTTAAAATGAGCCTTTGGACCTGTTGCCCTTTCTGTCATCCTGTTCCATTCATAGAAGTTGTACTAATGATTCTCACAATGAAAAGTGCTTTATGAATGAACATGGGCAGATGAATGAAAGGTCTGCCTCCACCAATCATAGAGTGTTTTTTTATTGTGGGAAGGGATAGTACAGCTTTTATGAATGGAGCAGGGGGAGAAGAAGAAGAAGAATGTACAGATGTCACTGAATGGCGGCTCCATTCTTTATTCTAAAGTCCGCTATTATATTTTATATGAAAAAGTCTTGTGGTTGCAACAATGTATCCATTTGTATCCAAATAAAAACCATCTGTATGGATACATTTGTTTGCAACCCAAGACTTTATAATATAAAATATAATAGCGGACTGGAATTCCTGTCTCTGCAAGGGACAGAAGCAGGGGCAGACTGACCATTCGAGCACTTGGGCATTGGGCACTGCCCGAGGGCCCGGGGTCAGTAGGGGGCCCCATGAGATGCCCCTGGTACTGTTCATTGGCTTTTTCATAGGCTTTTTTGGGTGTGGGCGAGGACACAGGGGCCCCATGATCCCCTATTACCCGGGGGCCCCATGAGTTGTCAGTCCGCCCCTGGACAGAAGTAATTATGCGGTTAAATGCCGGCTATAGCCGATTTTTTTACCGTTGGTGGTAACGTCGGCCGATCGAGAGAAATGACCAATTTTTCTTTTTTTTTTTTTTTTTTTAAACGGGCGGTTTTCGACCCATCTATGGCCTGCTTAAGTCACAGAGGGGGTTGTTAATCAGTTGCAGCTGTTTTGGTGTTAATGAAATTAATAACAGGTGCACTAGATGGGCAATAGTGAGATGACCCCCAAAACAGGAATGGTTTTAACAGGGAGAGCAACTGACATTTTTTTTCCCACCTACTCATCTTTTCTGACTGTTTTTCACTAGTTTTGCATTTGGTGAGAGTCAGTGTCACTACTGGTAGCATGAGGCCGTACCTGGACCCTACAGAGGTTGCACAGGTAGTCCAACTCCTCCAGGAGGGCACATCAATACGTGCCATTGCCAGAAGGTTTGCTGTGTCTCCCAGCACAGTCTCAAGAGCATGAAGGAGATTCCAGGAGACAGGTAGTTACTGTAGGAGAGCTGGACAGGGCTGTAGAAGGTCCTTAACCCATCAGCAGGACCAGTATCTGCTCCTTTGTGCAAGGAGGAAACAGGATGAGCCCTGCCAGAGCCCTACAAAATGACCTCCAGCAGGCCACTGGTGTGAATGTCTCTGACCAAACAATCAGAAACAGACTTCATGAGGGTGGCCTGAGGGCCCCGACATCCTCTAGTGCAGTGGTTCTCAACCTTTCTAACGCCGCGACCCCTTAATACAGTTCCTCATGTTGTGGTGACCCCCAACCATAAAATTATTTTCGTTGCTACTTCAGAACTGTAATTTTGCAGTGGGAGGAATAGTGCCCCATCATTGGTATCAGTGGGAGGAATAGTGTCCCATCGTTGGTGTCAGTGGGAGGAATAGTGTCCCATCATTGGTATCAGTGGGAGGAATAGCGTCCCATCGTTGGTATCAGTGGGAGGAATAGTGCCCACCATCGTTGGTGTCAGTGGGAGGAATAGCGTCCCATCGTTGGTATCAGTGGGAGGAATAGTGCCCCATCGTTGGTGTCAGTGGGAGGAATAGCGTCCCATCGTTGGTGTCAGTGGGAGGAATAGTGCCCCATCGTTGGTATCAGTGGGAGGAATAGTGTCCCATCATTGGTGTCAGTGGGAGGAATAGTGCCCCATCGTTGGTGTCAGTGGGAGGAATAGTGCCCCATCATTGGTGTCAGTGGGGGAATAGTGCTCCATCATTGGTGTCAGTGGGAGGAATAGTGCCCCATCATTGGTGTCAGTGGGAGGAATAATGCCCCATCATTGGTGTCAGTGGGAGGAATAGTGCCCCATCATTGGTGTCAGTGGGAGGAATAGTGCCCCATCATTGGTGTCAGTGGGAGGAATAGTGCTCCATCATTGGTGTCAGTGGGGAGGAATAGTGCCCCATCATTGGTGTCAGTGGGAGGAATAGTGCCCCATCATTGGTATCAGTGGGAGGAATAGTGCCTCATCATTGGTGTCAGTGGGAGGAATAGTGCCCCATCATTGGTGTCAGTGGGGGGAGGAATAGTGCCCCATCATTGGTGTCAGTGGGGGGAGGAATAGTGCCCCATCATTGGTGTCAGTGGGGGGAGGAATAGTGCCCCATCGTTGGTGTCAGTGGGGGGAGGAATAGTGCCCCATCGTTGGTGTCAGTGGGGGGAAGAAATAGTGCCCCATCGTTGGTGTCAGTGGGGGGAGGAATAGTGCCCCATCGTTGGTGTCAGTGGGGGGAGGAATAGTGCCCCATCATTGGTGTCAGTAGTGTCCCCCCCCCCCCCCCCCCCCCCCCCCCCCCCCCCCCCCCCCCTGTGGGGGAAATAGTGCCTATCATTGGTGTCAGTGGGGGGAGGAATAGTGCCCCATCGTTGGTGTCAGTGGGGGGGGGAATAGTGCCTCATCGTTGGTGTCAGTGGGGGGAGGAATAGTGCCCATCGTTGGTGTCAGTGGGGGGAGGAATAGTGCCCCATCGTTGGTGTCAGTGGGGGGAGGAATAGTTCCCCATCGTTGGTGTCAGTGGGGGGAGGAATAGTGCCCCATCGTTGGTGTCAGTGGGGGGAGGAATAGTGCCCCATCATTGGTGTCAGTGGGGAGGAATAGTGCCCCATCATTGGTGTCAGTGGGCGGAGGAATAGTGCCCCATCGTTGGTGTCAGTGGGGGGGAGGAATAGTGCCCCATCGTTGGTGTCAGTGGGGGGGGGAGGATAGTGCCCCATCGTTGGTGTCAGTGGGGGGAGGAATAGTGCCCCCATCGTTGGTGTCAGTGGGGGGAGGAATAGTGCCCCATCGTTGGTGTCAGTGGGGGGAGGAATAGTGCCCCATCGTTGGTGTCAGTGGGGGGAGGAATAGTGCCCCATCGTTGGTGTCAGTGGGGGGGAATAGTGCCTATCATTGGTGTCAGTGGGGGGAGGAATAGTGCCCCATCGTTGGTATTAGTGACACAAATGATGGGGCACTTTCCCTCCCACTGACACCAATGATACTTACCTTGCTGACCCCTGCTCCAGCCTGGGCTCGCTCTCTCCCTCTCCCATCTACAGCCTGCAGAAGCATAATTTGCACTTACCTGTCAGCTGTCTTCCTTCTCTGGGCCTCTCTCCTCTTCACTCGGTCCTGCAGCTCCCTCGATCTTCTTCGATCATGCGCGCTCTGCCGCTCGGCTCCTCCTCTCCAAGCTCCACCTCCTCGCCGGTGATTGGCCGCCTGTTGTGCCTCTCCTGAGCTACAGTTCCGGTGGCCAATCAGCGGCGAGGAGGCGGAGCTGTTGAGTGATCCCGGAGGTGTGGCCAGGTTACAGGGGCAGCATATCATCCCGCCCACAGATCGCGAGACAGAGCAGCGGTGTCTCGGTTCCTAAGACCATCGGAAATATGTTTTCCGATGGTCTTAGGCGACCCCTGGGAAATGGTCGTTCGACCCCCAAAGGGGTCGCGACCCCCAGGTTGAGAACCGCTGCTCTAGTGGGCCCTGTGCTCACTGCCCGGCACCATAGAGCTCGATTGACATTTGCCATTGAACACCAGAATTGGCAGGTCCACCACTGGCACCCTGTGCTTTTCACAGATGAGAAGCAGGTTCACCCTGAGCACATGTGACAGACGTGAAAGGGTCTGGAGAAGCCGTGGAGAATGTTCTGCTGCCTGTAACAGGGGCGGACTGACAACTCATGGGGCCCCCGGGCAATAGGGGATCATGGGGGCCCCTGTGTCCTTGCCCAAAAAAAGCTTATGAAAAAGGTACCAGGGGCATCTCATGGGGCCCCCTACTGACCCCCGGGCCCTCGGGCAGTCAGTCCGCCCGTCTGTAACATCGTTCAGCATGACCGATTTGGTGGTGGGTCAGTGATGGTCTGGGGAGGAATATCCATGGAGGGACACACAGACCTCTACAGGCTAGACAATGGCACCCTGACTGCCATTAGGTATCGGGGATGAAATCCTTGGACCCATTGTCAGATCCTACGCTGGTCCTCCTGGTGCACGACAATGCCCGGCCTCATGTGGGGAGAGTATGCAGGCAGTTCCTGGAGAAAACAATGGTTTAGTTTGCACACATTTGTAAATACATGCTTAAGCTGCAGAGCCTCTTCATGGCACCCCAGTATTATCTGCTTATCTTATGAGGCTGCCAGGCTGGTCAGAGAGATGGATGGCAACAGGGGCGGACTGACAACTCATGGGGGCCCCCGGGCAATAGGGGATCATGGGGCCACTGTGTCCTTGCCCAAACTCAAAAAAGCCTATGAAAAAGGTACCAGGGGCATCTCATGGGGCCCCCTACTGACCCCGGGCCCTCGGGCAGTGCCCGGGTTTCCAAATGGTCAGTCCGCCCCTGGATGGCAATATGTAAGCCATGGGCTCCAGATTTTAAGTGGCTTGAGTATTAAGCAGGCCATACATGGGTTGAATTCCGAACGATTTTTTGTACGATCGAAAATCGAAAACATGGTTCGTTCTGTAATCCGATGGTGCCACCAATGATTTCGAAAATCGGTCATTTTTCATAAATTTTCCAGCATGCCCAACAAATTAATGAGGATGACCCACGAAAATCAGCCGATGCCATTGCCCCACTAACAGAGCGAAAATCAGCCAATTATTCTTAGGTCTGATTTTTTGAACGAAAAATCATTCAGAAATTGACCCATGTATGGCCGGCCTTGGTAAGAATACTAGTCAATTGCTCATTAATAAAAATGCCCTCCAGGTGAGATTCAGCTTCCAAAAAATGGGGTAAATTGCTTCTTCCACGCCTTCGTTTGGAAGCTAAGAAGAAAGTGGACCAACTAGAATGGACGATGGATAATGCTCAAGGATTCAAAGTGTAAAAGCGCCAGCCAAGGCTCTGTAGCTATTGGCAGTGAGAAGACCCTGGTCCAAAAGCAGCCCAGCATGGGGAAGGTCCACCAAATAGGGACATCATCAGGGACCCGGCAATCATCAGGAACCCGGCATCCTCGAAAACATAGACCTGAGTATCCATGGATGATGTGGGCGAGTCTGGAGGGGACCATATACCATCTGGTCATTATTTTATATGCAGAGTCCAGGGTAGTTCGGTTGATAGTGAAGGAAGCAGTAGAGGACCAAATGGCCTGAGCCACCCTTCTCTTCAATGACAGTCATAGGCCTTCCATTCATGGAGTCCGTCAGTTTCTTGATCTCTTGATGGTCTGCTTTTTGTGCAGCAGCAACCACAGCCTCCCACTGTTCATAGAGGGGTACTGTTCAGGGGCGGACTGACAACTCATGGGGCCCCTGGGCAATAGGGGATCATGGGGCCCCTGTGTCCTTGCCCAAACTCAAAAAAGCCTATGAAAAAGGTACCAGGGGCATCTCATGGGGCCCCCTACTGACCCCGTGCCCGAGTTTCCAAATGGTCAGTATGCCCCTGGTACTATTCTCCTTCACTGTAAATCTCCTGTTTAACCACCATTTATATACATGGGCTGGACAGGAGCAGTACAGGGTCGGGTGGCCCTGCTTGTGTGCGCTCCCTGGGAGTGCGCAGCACCTCAATCCGGTACAACACCGATCGCTGTACGGGACCTCTGTGTGAGGTCCCAATCATGTGATCACTGATTGGCCAATCAGTGATCACATGAAGAGTAGTAAGCAAGATGTCACTTCTGACATCATTGCTTACTACATGTGAAATCTGCGAATGATCACAGAGATCACATGGTACAGGGCTATTCACAAAAGCCTTGTACCATGTGACAAGCTGTGACCAATCACAGCTCACACAGTATTTCTCAATGACTGCAAGAATGCAGCCAGAGAGAAGGAGAAATGATTGCTTTTACAGCCTTTATGGCTGTAAAAGCAATCAGTGTCAAAAAAAAATCTTCATCACCCCCCAAAAGTAGTACAGTGTCACCATGGTGATACTGTACTGCTAGTCTGACAGTATGTTAAAAAAAAACCATAAATAATAATAGAAAAAAAAATAAAAATGTAAAAATCTTTTTTGAAAAATTATAATTTTTGATTATAAACTAATTTGGCTTATTTTATTTTTTTTTTTTACTAAAAACATAATTGAATACATTTTGGCCAATATTTATGAATAAAGATTATTTATTTGCAAAATTTTATAAGAAAAACTTTTTTTCAAAAATTTTGGACTTTTTCATTTATATAGCAAAAAAAAAAAAAAATCCCAGTGGTGAGTAAATACCACCAAAATAAAGTTTTATCTGTGACACTGTACTGCTAGTCTGACAGTATGTTAAAAAAAAACATAAATAATAATTAAAAAAAATAAAAATGTAAAAACATTTTTGAAAAATTTAAATTTTTGGTTATAAACTAATTTGGCTTATTTTATTTTTTTTTTTTTTACTAAAAACATAATTGAATACATTTTGGCCAATATTTATGAATAAAGATTATTTATTTGCAAAATTTTATAAGAAAAACACTTTTTTTCAAAAATTTTGGACTTTTTCATTTATATAGCAAAAAATAAATAAAAATCCCAGTGGTTAAAATAAATACCATCAAAATAAAGTTTTATCTGTGACACTGTACTGCTAGTCTGACAGTATGTTAAAAAAACCCATAAATAATAATAGAAAAAAAAATAAAAATGTTATAACATTTTTTGAAAAATTATAATTTTTGATTATAAACTAATTTGGCTTATTTTATTTTTTTTTTTTACTAAAAACATAATTGAATACATTTTGGCCAATATTTATGAATAAAGATTATTTATTTGCAAAATTTTATAAGAAAAACACTTTTTTTCAAAATTTTGGACTTTTTCATTTATATAGCAAAAAAAAAAAAAATCCCAGCGGTGAGTAAATACCACCAAAATAAAGTTTTATCTGTCTCAAAAAAATGCTAAAAAATTCATATGGGTACAGTGTTGCATGACCGCGCAATTGTCATTCAAAGTGTGATAGTGCTGAAAGCTGGAAATTGGCCTACATGGACATTAATACCTGTTAACATTTTGATCTACAAACTGCTTTTATCATTTATTTAAACTTTTTTTTTTTTTCCATCCTTCAATAAACTTGTCACCACTTCACCTTTATTTATTACCACATCAAAGCTACAGCCTTCTGTTTTTTTTTTGTGCAAAAACTCTGACAAACTCATTCATGTCAAGATTATTGGCCAATCATGAGCCAAGATCTCCAATTTTGTTTTTCCTGTCATGCATCATTGTGTGTTGAAACCCACATGAGAGAAAAATATATTTGATATATATTTTAAAAATATTCTTCCCAAATAGATTGACATATGTTTGAAATACTACAATTTTTGCCATATTCAATATATTTAAAAATATATTTATTTATTTCAGGTACTTATATAGCGCCATCAATTTAGCGCTTTACATGCACAGTTGTGTTCAGAATAATAGCAGTGTGTTGAAAAAAGTGAATAAAGCTCAAAATCCTTCTAATGGCTTTTATTTCCATCCACACAAATGCATTGGGAACACGACACATTCTATTCCAAATCAAAACATGAAGAAAAATGCATCAAATTTGTGTTGTTCCTCTTAAAAAAATGGAAGAAAAGTGAATATTAGACGGTTCAAAAAAATCGCAGTGTTTGTATTCTTCTTTACAAACTCAAACATTCACTATATAAACTGAGAAATGTTTGAAGATTTTGCTTTCCTTTGAATGACTTCATGAATATTTGGTTGTAGTCGCACTGTTTCTGAGAACTGCTGTACATCTGTGTTGCATGGAGTCACCCAACTTCTGGCCCCTGTGATCAGGTATTCCAGCCCAGGATGATTGGACCACATTCCACAGTTCTTCTCTATTTCTTGGTTTTGCCTCAGAAACGGCATTTTTGATGTCACCCCACAAGTTTTCTATTGGATGAAGATCCGGGGATTGGGCTGGCCACTCCATAACGTCCATCTTGTTGGTCTGGAACCAAGATGTTGCACGTTTACTGGTGTGTTTGGGGTCGTTGTCTTGTTGGAACACCCATTTCAAGGGCATTTCCTCTTCAGCATAAGGCTGCATGACCTCTTCAAGTATTCTGATGTATTCAAACTGATCCATGATCCCTGGTATGCGATAAATAGGCCCAACACCGTAGTATGAGAAACATCCCCATATCATGATGCTTGCACCACCATGCTTCACTGTCTTCACAGTGTACTGTGGCCTGAATTCAGTGTTTGGGGGTCGTCTGACAAACTGTCTCCGGCCACTAGACCCAAAAAGAACAATCTTACTTTCATCAGTCCACAAAATGTTGCACCATTTCTCTTTAGGCCAGTCAATGTGCTCTTTGGCAGATTGTAACCTCTTCAGCACGTCTTTTTTTCCAACAGTGGGACTTTGCGGGGACTTCTTGCAGATAGCTTGGCTTCACATCGGCGTCTTCTAATTGTAACAGTCCTCACAGGGAACGTCACACCTTCTTTCATCTTCCTGGAGCTGATTGTTGGCTGAGTCCGCGCCATTTTGGCTATTCTTCTATCCATTCCAATGGTAGTTTTTTGCTTTCTTCCGCGTCTTTCAGGGTTTGGTTGCCATTTTAAAGCATTTGCGATCATTTTAGCTGAGCAGCCGATCATTTTCTGCACTTCTTTATATGTTTTTTCCCCTCTCCAATCAACTTTTTAATCAAGGTACGCTGTTCTTCTGAACAATGTCTGGAACGACCCATTTTCCTCAGAATTTCAGAGAGAAATGCACTGTAACCAGCAAGTACAACATTTGCTGCCTTCCTTCCTTAAATAAGGGCAATAATTGCCACCTGTTTTTCAAAGAATGAATGACCTCACTAATAGAACTCCACACTGCTATTATTTTGAACACGCCCCTTTCAATGAGTGATTCAATTACACAGAATCAGCAGCATGCATGTCATGACTGTCGGGTCTGTTGGATTTCTATGACTCTACTACACCTGCTAGGAAATTATTTGCCGTGTAGAAATATCATTTCTACCAAAAACAGTGATTGATCCGGTTAGTGATGTCTGACTGCTATTATTTTGAACACAACTGTATATATATTGTAATGTACAGCGCTGAGTAAACTATTGGCGCTTTATAAATACTGTATAATAATAATATATAAATATATTGTATACGGCCAATATTGTAGCATTTCAAATATATGTCAATATATTTGGGAAGAATATTTTTACAATATATTGCAAATAAATGTTTCTTCCATGTGGGAAATGGCGTTAGAACCCAAGACAATGTGGAGAATGAACTCTTCCATGATGCTGTGGATACCCCAATCACCAGAGCAGTTACACACAATGCATGCAGCTCTAGGAAAGCTTCCTTGTAGCCTCTGACATGTGCAGAGAGCAGACAGGTCCACCTCTGTGGT